GAAAGAAGTACAAAGCTTATTTGTACAGAGCTTCCTTTGCTTCCAAAGGAAGAAAGGAAGAAGGGAGGGAAAGAAAGAAAAAAAAGAGAATCAGAGACAGAAGATGGGCACGGGAGAGGGCAGTGGGAGAGAGAGGCCACAGCAAGAAGGAAGGGAGAAAGTGCCAGCTAGTTGAGGAAAAGCGACTGGTGTTTTAAAAGATAAAAGTGGCTTTGTTTCCTCTGCTTCAGCAAACTGATAATGGAAGCCAGGAAGCTGTTGCAGGTGTTCTCCCTGGCTTATCTGAGTCCTTGGGATCTGGTTCAGATGAGAACTAAGGCAGAGAGTTGGAGCAAAGAGCTCACACTCCTGCTGTCCTCCTAGAGCTCTTCAAAGCTGAGAAAACTTAGTCCCAGAGATAACAAGTTAGGCCACAGGTGTTTTATTTAAACAAAACAGAGTAGTGTGTTGTGAGTTTTCTCTTCTGAGGGGCAATTATGTACTGTGAGTTTCTCTTACTCTCTGATACTTCCTTTTCCTCTGTTAGATAGGTAAGACCACTCCTCATTGTCTTCTTTTAGTTTGTTTCTGAAGACTAAGCAGTTCCAAAATTCATCCAAAAATGCTCTAAAATTAGTTATTAAAGTGACTTAATATCTGGACTAGGTTAAGCAAGAGTAGAATCACAAAAGGACTTGCTAGCACTATCCCCAAACTATGCAATGAGGTACACTTATATTGCAGGAACCAGATCTGCATAGGAAATACCCAGCAATTTAGGCAGTGAATCTCTACATTATTCTTCATTCCATAATTATGGATTGAGTCCTGCTGGCTAGCTTTCTTTACTGAAATCTATTTCCCCTGAGCTTGCTCATTGGAACCTTGGGCCTAGGGAGCAAACATGTCTAGCCAGACAGGCCTTAGGCAAGCTCCTCATACTGACATCCTAACCTTTCCCATCTCATCTCTTAGATTATTTGTATCCGTTTTTTTTGGATTTGAACCTGGCCCTGCTGGTTGGTGAGCCCCGGGAGTTTATTCTTCATATCCTGTCCCATGCTGGGTTTCCTCTGACAGCTTTGTGGAAAATGAATGACATTGCTTAATCTAGTACTGTCAGGGCTATTTTTTCTAGATAAGGAAGGAAGTCAACACATTCTTAAACATCTCATAAAATCTCATGGCACAATATCACTTGTTTCTTTAGGACAAAATCATAGAAATTATTATGAAATGTAAAGTAAATATTGTTACCAGAATTGAAAGAAAACAAAAAGATGTCGTTTGACAAAAGCATTCCCAACTACCAGTACCACCCTCATGGCTGGATTAAATCTCAGCTTTGCACAAAATAAAAGATTATGAAGGTGGTATACAGAGTAGTTTGGGAAACCATCTTGGGAAAGACTGTTTTTCAAACCAGAGAAATGATTAGCATTAGCAGGTAGTTTTATCCACAGATGCTTATTTTATTTCCTAAAACTACTGCTACTATCACAGGTGATCCTGAATCTGAAACTTTACAAAGTCTCATTACAACTTTCTCTACATAGTTATTTTACAGTTCTGTTTTATGGAATATCTTCATTTTTTTAACTTACAGAAACAATGTACAGTAATTGAAAATTTTATCTCTGTTCTCATCTCTTCTACTCATCTTGCTATATGACCTTGGGAAAATCTGTTTTGTTTTTTTTAAATGCACTGCACACTCTCAAATGTGCAGTGAACACATACAGTATTCACCTTGCTATCCACTTTCTACCCAACCAGACCGCAAAGTTCCATTTTTGCAATTCCTCTCTCAAGCCATGATGGAGTCTAGGTAGAATAAGGTGCTACTGCCCTCTGCTGGTTCCTAGAACACACCTGCCCATCGGTGCAGTGACCCTGCCCATCATAACACTGTGCCCCTTGCATTTGGTTGAGCAGACATAGCAAGAAACCACCAAGAAAAAAAAAACAAATTACATGTTTGGAAAAATAATAATATTTTAAGTATTGGGGTATTATTTATTTGTTATGTACATATCAGGAAATAGTTTTATCCATAGGTGCTTCTCTCTGTTTACTGAAACTCCTGCTACTATCACAGATGCCATAGCCATTTGTGGCTGTCTTGCAACCAAAATTGTTTGTCCAAAACACTTCTGGTCCCAAGCATTTCAGATATGGGATACTCTGTATGTGCCAAGGAAGGTAAATATGCAGCATCAGTGAAAAAAATACTAGAGGAGAAAGGCAGATTCCTGTACAGCTCTGGTAGGTTTTAGTAAAAGATCTATAACCAATAACTTTTTGGTGTGTTGATTATCCTAAAACAACTTTGCGAGGAACTGATAAGAATTTGTTAAGAGCTCAGATTTTTTTGCACTTACCTTTATTAATATCATTTTAGGACTCAAAATTTTTAGAGTTGCTTTTCATTGTATTACAGTGCATTTATAGGAACAATAAATGTCTTGACTATACTCATGGGAAAGACAGTTGAGAATTATGCTTTTATCTTACTTGACTTTTGTGCCTTTAACATCTCTTGGAGAATAGACTTGTGCACTGCTACTGAAGTAACTGTTAGTCTTAAAGGACTAAAAAGTGAAGGAAGAAAAAGTACGTGACCCACAAACCAAGCATCTTCATTCAGAGTATAAAGGAGCTTATAATTCATAGTGTATGTGGCTTCTGCTTACATGCTCACAAAACCACGTACATTTTGTCCATGATTTCCCGTAAATAGATAGGTCTGTGATTTCCCATAGATGATAGCTGTGTCATAAATGAGCAGACAGGCATTGTGAAGTCCAACAATGACCCTCGTGTGCCTTCCTCTCAGAGGACTCCTGACTTTTGCTTCATGGTCAGCCCCAACCTATAGCCACATAAAGGCAGAACAGGGGTTGTAGCCAGTCACCTCAGCAGCAGTACAAAGTCCTATCTTGGAATGCAGGACATAGAGATGTGATAGGCAAAATCATAGTCACCCTGCTTCTTAGCACACAAGTACTACATTTCACAGTGCATTGCCTATTACACCTCTAGACTAAATATATATATAATGTATTGAGCATATAATTTTTACCAGATATCTTATATATCTGGTATGCAAGGACTATCTGGGAAGTGTTCAGCCATGTAATATGGAAAATTGAGGCATACATGGCCAGATACTTTCTGGTCAGCCCTTGTATATCCCTAAAAAATGAACCAGCTTTTGCTGCGTACTGTTTTTTGTATAACCTTACAGTAATCTTCAGTGTCCAACATTTCAGGAGAAGAGAATTTGGCTTATTAAATTGTTTCAAAAGAAAATTTATTAGAAACTTTAGTTCTGCTTACAAAAAACAGATGAACTCAATTCCAAAGAATAAAATGCCCTCCATGCCTGTCTATTGAAAACGGCACCGGCTTTTTCTAGAGAAATGATAAACTTTTTTAAATGTGGAAACATCCTTAACTTTTAGAGATAAAAGCAGTGGCTATTAAAAGATGACCCAAATCATTAACTAAAATTTGGTGATGTAAATTATCTTCAAAATAAAAAATGCAATGTTATGTAAAGTTTTGTCAGTGGTTTCAAAGCAGTATATTACTTAGAGAAATGAAATCATAAAGTAAGGGAAAAACGAACGTGCTACTGGCACTCACTTTGACATTTAATTATTTTATGATTTGCTTCCAGTTCTTTTGGAAGACAATTTGGTGTAATAAAAAGGGCAGGGGCTTTGGAACCAAACAAACTTTGGGCTGGCAACCCATTTCCACTGCTTATACAGTGTTATATGGCCTTGGTGAATCACTTAAACCTCCCTGAACTTCTGTGTTCCTTAAATTGGTAATCACAACGTGCATTTTATGAGACTTTTAGTATTAACTTAGATGTGTGCATATGTATAAAGTACCTACCAATTGCCTGCAGAGTTCGTTTTCTTTCCCTCTGTTGTTAATCACCTCTTGAGTTTACTCTTACTATGAAGCCCCAGCAGGAAGTCCTGGTAAAGGAGGTTTTATCTTGCCATGCCCAGATTTGGTTGCTAGAAATGTCACTGAAGGCCAGGGCAGTCTTCCAGGAAGTATGTGAGGCAAGCAGCAGATTTTATGAGGAGGTCATGGGCTAGAGGGTACAGTAGGAAGAGTGGAGTTCCTCTGAAGTCTCAAATTCATGACATACCCACATTCTGTGTGTAAGGCCAGGCCATAGGTTCACTCACATTTCAGTTAGTGCCTTTAAAAAAAAGGTACCCTGAAATCAGTAGAAGAAATTTTAAGTTATCTGGAGTTTTATGTTTAGGTTGTAATGGATTTTATTATATGTCCTAATTATAGTAATTTTTTTTTTTTTTTTTTGTGGTATCACAGCTTAGAGCAACCTCCAGCTCTTGGGCTTAGGCGATTCAGCCTCAGCCTCCCAAGTAGCTGGGACTACAGGCACCCACCACAACGCCTGGCTATTTTTTTGGTGCAGTTTGGCTGGGGCTGGGTTTAAACCCACCACCCTTGGTATATGGGGCCAGTGCCCTACCCACTGAGCCCTACCCACTGGTAGGCCAGTGCCCTATCCACTGAGCCCGCATACTACCAGCAGGATTATGAAAGAGAATATTCCCATCACCCTCACACCTCACCCCAGTGAGTCTCCCCTCCGGTCTGCCTCCTGACTGCCCCATCTGCCTGCTCTAGAATATTTTATATAATAACTGGAATCATACAGCAATTATATACACACTGTAATAAAACTTTTCATATATTCTCCAATTCATGTGGTAACAACTTTGATTTTTAGCTGTTACTAAAATGCCAGTTTTAATAGATAAAGTGACAGAACCCTCAAAGATTTAATAGCAAGCCCAAAGTTGCCAGTTAAAAAGGAATCAGTTGCTGATGGCTAAATGTGTACTGGCATAAGATATTCCTCAGAGAAATCCTTCAGTCACATCTGTGATTAACTGTGGCTCCTATGACCCTTTGAACTGGCACAGCACTACTAGCACCATGGTAATGGGTATTGTGTCTTCTCACAGAAACTTGCCCCTGGAGTCAGCCAGTTTGCGTACACCTGTGTCCAGGAGCACCCCATCTGGACGAATCAGCAGTTTTGGGAGACAACCTTTTACAATGCTGTGCAGGAACAGGTTCGCTCCCTTTATCTCTCAGCCAAGGACGACAATCATGCCCCACATCCAAAACAAAAGGTAAGAAAAGAGACAAGAAGAAAGTGACTGTGTGCTGCCAGCTCCGGGCTTTAAGGAAAGTTTTATACAGGTGTTCCCAGGGCAGAAGGAAGGTTCATTTTAAGGAGCCTTGTGGTAAGCGTCTTTCTTCTGTTGACTTCTGACAATATGTTTTTCCATAATAACTTTTTAATACATTTCTTTAGCACAAGCATTATTTTAATAAATTTTAATAAATAAGAATTCTGCAGAAACAGTTATATGAAGTTGAATAGAAAGAGCAAACCTAAAATATCTAGGCATACACCTCTAGGCAACTAACTTCCCTGAAGAAATTAACTTTAGAGTCCAGTTAATTGACTCTAAAATAAATGTAAAATTTAGCAGTTTTGCTCAAAAATAAGCTAGTAATAAAGTCTTCTTCTAGGGATGATGTGTATATGTTTCTGTATATTTTATCAACATAAAATATTTTTAAGAAAAGTATGTCAAAAAATATTTTAAAATAAAGAAAATTATTTTTAGGCAGCTCCCATCTCTCAGTGGGTAGGGCGCCAGCCACATATACTGAGGCTGGTGGGTTTGAACCCAGCCCAAGCCCAACAAACAACAATGACAACTGTAACAAAAAAAAAAAAAAAAAAAGTCAGGCATTGTGGCAGGTGCCTGTGGACCCAGCTACTTGGGAGGCTGAGGCAAGAGAATCGCTTAAGCTCAAGAGTTTGAGGTTGCTGTGAGCTATGATGTCACAGCACTCTACTGAGGGCGACATAGTGAAACTCTGTCTAAAAAAAAGACAAGAAAATTATTTTTAATTTGAAAGAGTGGTTTGGGGCAAGTCATGTTACTTCTCTATGCCTTATTTCCTTATTGGTAAAGTGAAAAGATAACGTTGATTGTAAGATTTTAGTGTCTTAATATATGCAAAGTGCTTTGAAGAGTTCCTGGGATATAGTAAATAATAAGTGTTAGAAATGATCATCCTCATGAATTGAATTTAAAGCAGCCTTGAAGATTGATTGTCATTATACTCTAATTGGGTTGGTGGGGTACTTTTGATATTTTTTTTAATCAGCTATAATGTTAATATTGATTTATCTCAAAAGTATTCATAGAGCAAATGCATGTCACTGCTTTTATGTCATCCATTCCAAAGAAGTCTGTCTCTGAGCTCTAGGTTGGGTACAAGTGAGACCATAAGTGTTCCAGCTCTTTAGGAGATATAAAGGGCTTTGCTGCTACTTCCTTGGGTCTGGCATATGCTTCCACTCAAGGCCTGTTAGATCTGGGAAAAAAGACTAGGTTCTGTTTTATGGTGATTATGTTTTGCTATGTTTACATTTTTGCTGACATAGATATTTAATATAAAAGTTATTTAAAACATTTACTTTTTTAGGCTGGGCACAGGCTCACACCCATAATTCTAGCACTCTGGGAGGCTGAGGCAGATTGATTGCTTGAGCTCACAGGTTCAAGACCAGCCTGAGCCAGAGTGTATCTCTAAAAATAGCCAGGCATTGTGGCAGGCACCTATAGTCCCAACTACTCGGGAGGCTGAGGCAAGAGATCACTTGAGCCCAAGAGTTTGAGGTTACTATGAGCTATGATACCACGGCACTATACCAAGGGTGACAAAGTGAGACTGTCTCAAAAAAGTTTAAAAAAAAAAATTTACATTTTTGGAAATTATGTGAAGTGGTAGATGTTCTCTTTGGATTGTGTTGCTTTGTTTTTTAGGATAAGCTTCCCGATGACCAGTATCAGAAGACAGCAATGGACCTGGCAGCAGAGCAGCTACGCCTTTGGCCGACTCTGAGCAAATCAACTCAGCAAGAGCTAGTACAACATGAGGAGAGCACTGTCTTCAGTCAGGCCATCCATTTTGCAAACCTCATGGTCAACCTGCTAGTTCCACTAGACACAAGTAAGAACAAGCTCCTACGAACGTCAGCACCAGGCGACTGGGAGAGCGGAAGCAACAGCATCGTCACAAACAGGTACTGAAACATGGACACACAGAGACCCTCCTGATGCTCTTCTTAGGACCTTCTTGGCTTAGCCGAGAATATAAAGCTTTGGAGACAAATATTGCTGTACATATTTCAAAAATTAACCATTTTTCCTCACCTTTAGACTTGCTCAGCTCTTCTCTCTAAAAGAGTGATTTCATCCTATTATTCACCCACCTCCCACACTCTGTTTTAGAACTCAACTTTCCAAAGTCTCAGCCAGAATTAAGCCAGCCCTTCTGTCACTTTCTGCAAAAGCAATTTACAAAAAAATTTGCTCTGAAAAATTACTAGCAAGAATCTTTTTGCCAAAGTGACTATTTGTTTCCCAGCCCTCCTTTTCCTCAACTTTATAGTCATGTCCTCAACCATTCCTTACTCTCTACCATCCAATGACTTTGCAACTGAGAATAAAACCCCAAATCTTTACCATGTTCTACAAGCCCTAATGGGATCTGACCTTATTTCTTATCACTCTGTCAATTAAACTGGTCTCCCTGCTGATGCTAATCCTTAAACACTCCACACATATTATAGTCTCAAGTCTTTTATACTGGTTCTTCCCTCATTCTGGAAGACTCTTCCGGAAATAGTCATAAGAATCAATCTCTCACTTTATTTTTTTTTTTTATTGTTGGGGATTTTGAGGGACAAAGAACCAGGTTACAATGATTGCCTGTAACCTTGTATCAGTGGTTCTCAACCTTCCTAATGCCACGACCCTTTAATACAGTTCCTCATGTTGTGGTGACCCCCAACCATAAAATTATTTTCGTTACTACTTCATAACTGTAAGTTTGCTACTGTTATGAATCGTAATGTAAATATCTGATATGCAGGATGATCTTAGGTGACCCCTGTAAAAGGGTCGTTCTACCCACAAAGGGGTCAACCCACAGGTTGAGAACCACTGTGTTAGATAAGGACCCTCTTATAATAGTGTTCTGCCCCCAAAAGATGAACTACCCCCAGTAACCCCCCCTTCCCTCTTTCTGTTCTCCCCATCCCTCACTCCCCATGGTGCTAGGTCATTAATTGTCCTCATATCAGAATTGAGTACATAAGATTCTTCTTTCTCCATTCTTGTGATGCTTTGCTAAGAATGTGTTCCACTTCCATCTAGGTTAATACAAAAGATGTAAAGTCTCTGTCTTTTTTAGTGGCTGAATAGTATTCCATGGTATTCCTGTACCACAGCTTGTTGATCCATTGCTGGACTGGTGGGCATTTAGGCTGTTTCCACATCTTGGCAATTGTAAATTGAGCTGCAATAAACATTCTAGCGCAAGTGTCCTTTGGTAAAAGGATTTTTTTTCTTCTGTGTAGGTGCTCAGTAACGGGATTGCAGGATCAAATGGGAGGTCTAGTTTGAATTCTTTGAGGGTTCTCCATACTTCCTTCTGAAAACGTTGTATTAGTTTGCAGTCCCACCAGCAGTGTAAAAGTGTTCCCTTCTCTCCATATCCATGCCAGAATCTGCAGTTTTGAGATTTTGTGATGTGGGCCATTCTCACTGGGGTTAGATGATATCTCAGGGTGGTTTTGATTTGCATTTTTCTAATAATTAGAGATGATGAGCATTTTTCCGTATGTTTGTTAGCCATGTGTCTGCCTTCTTTAGAGAAGGTTCTATTCATCTCTCTTGTCCAGTGGCATAAGGATTGTTGGCTCTTTTTATGTTGCTTAATTTGAGTTCTCTGTCAATCCTAGTTTTTAAGCTTTTGTCTGATTCAAAATATGTAAATATTCTTTCCCATTGGGTAGGTTGTCTATTTGCTTTGGTTGTTGTCTTCTTAGCTGTACAGAAGCTTTTCAATTTAAGTCCCCTTTGTTTATTTTTGTTGTTGCAATTGCCATGGGAATCTTCCTCATAAAGTCTTTCCCCAAGCCAATAGCTTCAAGTGTTTCCCCACATTTTCTTTGAGGATTTTTATTGTTTTGTGCCTTAGATTTAGGTCTTTTATCCATCTTGAATCAATTTTTGTGAGTGGAGATAGGTCCTGTTTCAGTCTTTTACATGTGGATGTCCAGTTCTCCCAGCACTATTTATTGAATAGGGATTCTTTACCCCAATGTATGTCCTTAATTGGCTTATCAAAGATTAGGTGGCTATAAGATGTTAGTTTCATCTCATTGTTTTCTATTAAGTACCAGATTTCTATGTCTCTATTTTTGTGCCAATACCACACTGTTTTGTTTTGTTTGGTTTGGTTTTTTCAGTTTTTGGCCAGGACTGGATTTGAATCCACCACCTCCAGTATATGGGGCCAGTGCCCCACTCCTTTGACCCATAGGCGCTGCCCAGTACCACACTGTTTTAATCACTATGGCTTTGTAATACAGCTTAAAGTCTGATGGGCTGATGCCACTGGCTTTGTTTTTATTACTAAGAATTGCCTTGACTATATAGGGTTTTTTCTGATTCTATACAAAACAAAGAATTATTTTTTACTAGTCTTGAAACTATGATATTTGTTTGTTTGTTTGTTTGTTTTTGTTTTTGAGACATAGTTTCACTATGTCACCCTCGGTAGAGTGCTGTGGCATCACAGCTCACAGTAACCTCAAACTCTTGGGCTCAAGTGATTTTCTTGCCTCAGCCTCCCAAGTAGCTGGGACTACAAATGCTTACCACAACTCCTGGCTATTTTTTGTTGCACTTGTCATTGTTGGTTAGCTGGCCTGGGCTGGCTTTGAACCTGCCAACTTTGGTGTATGTATATGACACCATAACCACTGTGGTATGGGCACCAAGCCTGATGTTGGTATTTTAATAGAGATGGCATTGAATCTGTACATTGCTTTGGAAAGTATAGACATTTTAACAATGTTGATTCTTCCCAGCCATGAGCATGGTATATTCTTCCATTTGTTAATATCGTCTAATATTTCTTTTCTTAGGGGTTTGTAGTTTTCTTTATAGAGGACCTTCACCTCTTTTGTGAGGTATATTCCTAGGTATTTCATTTACTCTCTCACTTTATTTAAGTCTCTGCTCAAACATTACCTGCCCAGAGAGGCTCTCATGACTTCCCTACTTTAAATAGTACTTCCATCACTCTGTCTTCTATCTGGCATTATTTTCTTTTATGACATTTTCTACAACCTGATTTATATCACATATTTGCTTATTATTGTCCCCTTTATCTATGTTTTTCATTGCCGTATCCTCAGGATCTTTGCATACAGAAAGGTATTCAATTAAATGAATGAATAAATGAACAGATTACCCCAACAGTAATGAAATTCTATCCTTTTTTTTTCTTTTTGAGACAGAATCTCACTATGTTGCCTTTGGTAGAGTGCTGTGCCATCACAGCTTACAGCAACCTCAAACTCTTGGGCTTAAGCAATTCTCTGGCCTCAGCCTCCCAAGTAGCTGGGATTACCAGCACCCGCCACAGTCCTCGGCTAATTTTTGTAGTTGTAATTGTTGTTTGTCAGCCTCAAACCTGCCAGCCCCTGTGTATGTGGCCAGCACCCTAACCACTGAGCACGGGCACTGACCCTGAAATTCTGTCCTTTTTAAGGCCTCAATGGTGTATGCTATAATGGCCTTGTTGTTACAGCTCTCCTAAATTATTCACCTGAGGCTCTTTCAGGCAGCTGTTCTTCTCTTCCCACTCTCAATTTCTCTGCCAAACTCTTCATACTTGGAAAGCTCAGACACAAGCCTAAATCTCTGAACGTTCCCTCTCAATCCCCCTAATGTAGGTATTTCATTTCTGTCAAAAGCACCTAAAAGTTTCTCTTCCAGGCTAGACAGCTTGGAGTCAGCATTTTGTACCATACAGTCAATGCACAGATAGTCTCTTATTTCTTCCTATATCAGGTTTCTAATCTATCCCCTGATTATTTTATTCCTCTTTTTGTAGTTTCATTTTGTATTCCTCTTTCTGTAATTATCTGACCTAGTGCCAAAGAATCTTCATGAAATAATGCTTTCACGTTGCTTTACTGCTTATCACTCCACAAGACTCTTTCCCCAATCTGGGTTCATCTGCCTGATTTTTAAGATCTTCCTCAGTCAGTCCCCAGCTTTATCTCCCACTGCCAGTCAAGTCAATCTCTGTTATGACCAAAAATAACTATATTTTCCTTTTCTTTTAAAGTTATCATTAGAGATGACCATACTCTCTCAAAGTCTGCATAGTGAGTGGCTAAGGCACCTAAGTCCTTTCATGGTTTAGAATGATGTGAGGACCATATTCTTTGCTTAGGTTTACTTCAACACTGATTTAGCTATTGTGGTTGGCTTTGGAGGAAAGAAAAGTAAGTTGGTTAGAACAAACAAATGAGTCTTTTCCATGATTAGCAATCTAATTTGTTGAGTAGTGGAAGCTGAATAAACAACAAGGGAAGAGATTGAGCTTTTACATCTGCTCCATTTCAAATTTGTTCCCTTCTCTTGCAAGATTCTATCACCTAGAGAAGAATGATGGCTTCACATTGGCCAAATGGGTTGTAATTCACTCAGAGAGAGATAAATTCTGGCAAGAGAATGGTTCATGGGACAGTTTGATCCTTCTATATAGAAGAATCTGCTCATTTCTGAGAAAAGTTATTTAATTTTGCCTACCAGGTAACATTTCCCCAGTTGCCAGAGATAACTGTATTACTTTTTTGGCTCTATTTAGTAAGTAATTGGAAGGACAAGTTGTTTAGAAGGCTTAGGTGGAAGATAATAAATGCTTTATTTTCTATGGTTCCTGTGTTCCTTTTGGGAAAATGACAGAAAGTATTCCTTACAGAAACAAATTTTCCAAATATAGAGTCAAGTAGAACATTGAACACATTTTGATTGCTATGCGAATTGACTATCAGGTAGTGGTCATTTGTTGCATTTGAGTACTAACCATGACTTCTTTCCTTGATTGTCTCAGTATTGCAGGAAGTGTAGCTGAGAGTTATGATACAGAGAGTGGGTTTGAAGATTCAGAGAATAATGACATTGCCAATTCTGTGGTGCGGTTCATTACTCGATTTATTGACAAAGTTTGTACAGAGAGTGGAGTTACTCAGGATCATATCAAGAGTCTTCATTGCATGATACCAGGTAATCATTTTGCAAATATTAGGGAATCACAATATTGGAGATAATTGAGTTGCAGTGCCAAACCTGTAATATATAAGTCACTAAGGAAGTTTTGAGACATACTGTGTTATGGTCCATTATTTCATTTCCAAGAAATACAGTCAACAGCATCCTTTCTGATTCACCTGTCCAGTTTCCACTTGCTCAGCTTATCAGTGTTGCTGGGAAGGCTTCATTTGTTTCTGTCCATGTGTATTTTATATCATGAAACAATTAACTCCTGCTTCCCCATGCCCAGCCCCTGGTAATCCCTGACCTACTTCCTCTCTCTATGAAGTTGCCTATTCTTGATATTTCATGTAAGTGGAATCATTTATATTTGTACTTTTATATCTGGCTAATTTCACTTAGCAGAGTGTTTTCAGGGTTCATCTATGTTGTAGCACGTATCAGAACATCTTTCCTTTTTATGGCTAACTGTATTCCATTGTCTCGAAAGTCCACATTTTGGTTATCCATTCATTTGTTAATGGATACCTGGGTTGTTTCCACCTTTGGGCTATTATGAATAATACTGCTGTGAACATTCACATACAAGCATCTGTGTCCTTGATTTCTTTTCTTTGGGGTACACATACATACCTAGGAGTGGAATTACTGTATTATATGGTAATTCTAAGTTTAACCTTTTGAGAAACCATTAAGTGTTGATTAGTTTGTTCCAGAATTTGTTCTTATTCTGCTTGTTCTGTGCTCTTTTATTTGAATTCTGTGACTCATCCTAGGAATTGTAGCCATGCACATTGAGACCCTGGAAGCAGTACATAGAGAAAGCAGAAGACTTCCACCTATACAGAAGGTAATTATTCCAGACTACATGCTTTTAGGTTATAACATCAATTTTTTGTTTTTTGGAGACAGAGTCTCTTTATGTCTCCCTCGGCGGAGTGCCATGGTGTCACAGCTCACAGCAACCTCCAACTTCTAGGTTTAAGCAATTCTCTCACCTCAGCCTCCGAGTAGCTGGGACTACAGGCGCCCGCCATAACGCCTGGCTATTTTTTGGTTGTAGTTGTTATTGTTTGGCAGGCCTGGGCCAGATTCAAACCTACCAGCTCTGGTATATGTGGCTGGTGCCTTAGCCACTTGACCTACAGGTGCCACTCAACAGTTCTAACTTCTAAGCTAAACCCAAGATTTTATGTGCCTACTTCCCCCGGAAAAAGGATTTAAGGCAATTACAATAAAACACCAGGTCCTTGAATCTGGCTATACATCAGAAGCAGCTGGGAAGTCTATTAAAAATTTAGTCTTGAACTCCACCCCAGCCTTCTGAATCAGAGTGCCCTGCAGCATGGCCTGGGAATGTGTATGTCAACAGGACTGCCAGATGATTATTTTGCAGCTAATCTGGCACCAGTAGTCTAGGGCTCAGGGTCTTCTTGCTAGTATAACAGAACTATTAAAAATAAATTCAAAGGAGAGATCAGAAACCCAATAAGTAGAAAGAGAATTTTATCAGAAACCTGAGACACAGTGATCATTAATCTTTGGCTTTACATTTAGCTCTAAGAAGCTTCCTTTAAAAAAAAAAATAGTCTGATTTATATAGTTTTTATTGCATAGTAAAAATTAAATATGTTAGACCTTCAGGAGAGATTTTTTTTCCCCTATCCCTAAACTCTTCAGAGAAGCATATCGTATGATTCCTCATATAAAGAGACAATGACTGCGTCAAGATTTGCTAAGTTGGCTCCGCGCCTGTGGCTCAAGTGGCTAGGGCGCCAGCCACATACACCTAAGGTGGCGAGTTCGAATCCAGCCAGCCAAACAACAATAAAGGCTGCAACCAAAAAATAGCCAGGCATTGTGGCAGGCGCCTGTGGTCCCAGCTACTTGGGAGGCTGAGGCAGGAGACTCGCTTGAGCCCAGGAGTTGGAGGTTGCTGTGAGCTGTGATGCCACAGTACTCTACCCAGGGGGACAGCTTGAGGCTCTGTCTCCAAAAAAAAAAAAAGATTTCCTAAGTTGTGTAAATGTTCATTGCTTGGCTAAGAAGGACTGTTCTTATTAAAAACTCATCCATTTTTTCAAGTGTTTTTTTTTTTCAGTTTACAAAAGTAATAATGTTCTCTGTATAAAGTTAAAGCAGGAAAGAAATACACATTGTATAAAGTGAAAGTCCTCTGTAATTTCCCCATCCTACCCCACCCCTACCTTCACCTTTAACCACAGTAGCACCACAGTTTGATTCATTTTCTTACAATTTCTTTTCTTTTTCCAAAAATGAGAACATGAAATACGTACTGGTTTCCAACTTGCTTTTTTAACTTAACAGTGTATTCTGGATATCTTTCTGTGTTAACACATACAAGTCTACATTATTTTTTTAAAGCTTGCAAAATGTTCCATTGAATGGATATTTCAAACATTTGTGTTGCTGCCCAATGTTTACTGGTAGCAAGGAATTCTGCAAAGAATCCTTTCCCATTTGGATATACAAACTTCATTTCTTCCTCCTACCAAATCTGCTTTCTCATTTGTCTTTCTGAGAAGTCTGGCCTAAGTTTTTTAGTTATGTAACTGAAAAGACCTTGGTATAAGTGTTAGAAACCTCACAAAAGTTGTGTTTAAAATATTTTCTTTGTTGTAAGCCCAAGATTCTTAGACCTGCTCTGCTACCAGGAGAAGAAATTGTTTGTGAAGGTCTTCGAGTCCTTCTGGATCCTGATGGAAGAGAAGAAGCTACTGGAGGTCTTCTTGGAGGGCCTCAGCTCCTGCCAGCAGAAGGAGCCTTGTTCCTCACCACATACAGAATTCTCTTCAGAGGGACTCCCCATGATCAGCTAGGTATGACTCATGATACGCCATCAGAAGGTATCTGTGTGGCAGATGAAGTTTTGATTCATTGTGTGTGCAGTAATTTGGAGATGATTTCAAATCCAAAGTAAGCTTTTTGCCACACAGGTATTTGCAGGGGATCCTTTTGTCTGTCAAAGCTAATGATACTCTGGGTCATACATTTTTACCTGAAGAATAAAAAGTATCTTCTAAACAATAAATCAAGGGTTCATTTGCTGAAATAATTTTGTGAGGCAGAGTGTTAAAACCTAGGGATATTTGCTGTATCTAATCCCTACGTATGTCCCCTGCTGATGTGCCCCAGCTTCTGAGTCCTGTAGTTAATTGTAAGGCTAAGGTCTTCCAGACACATGATCCCTCTTGTGGAAGAATATGCGAAGCATCACTAATCCTACTTCCTTCTTAATCCATTTCAGCTAACCCTACTTCCCTCTTAGCAGATGACTTCTCTTCCATTCACCAAACTCCCATAACTTCTACTATTCTATACAATCTTCTGTATTAGAAATAACATGCCCTATTCAAAAAACAATATGCATTATCTTAAATTCACTGTAATCTCTCTATAAAATATCCTCACTGTTAGGGAAAGCACATAAGGTTTTGGTCAAAACTATTGTAGTCCACGTCATAAAGTTCAGATTTGGACTGCTATTGACCAGTCTTGATGACTTAAGTCACCAAACCTCTGTGGACTTCATTTTCCTCTTTTATAAAATAAGAGAATTGGGCTTTCATTGGTGATAATTCAAGAATTCTGCTGATAAAGTTGAGTGGTTTTCAACCTTAGCTGCATATGTGAATTAGCTGGGAACCTTAAAAACAATACCAATTTCTGGGCTCACCTCTCAAACAGCTGAATTAGAATCTAAAGCAGTAGGAATGGGGTATTAGTATATTTCTCAAGCCCACAAGTGCCCTGTAATGAGGATTGAAAACCAGTGGGCTAAATGATCACTAAAGTTCCTTTTCCTCTGAAATTATTTATTCAGTAGCATTAAATGAGTATGTACTATGGCTATGCATTTTACTGGACGATGGAATGCAGATGTATAAAATGTATTGTCTTTAAAATCTTAACAGTTGTGTGATTCCTGGGCTGAACACAATCAAGATTGCAGTTACAAAAGAGTGCTTACCAAAAAGTTGCTTTTGCTTAAGCAAAAACTTCATAAATTTCATAAAGAATAATGAATTCATAGGAATAGTTGTGCTTTTTTTAAAAAGTGAAAAACAGCAAAATCTCAGCCTTCTCCTGTCATAAGAAGCCATCTCCTTCTCTGTACATAAATTATATTTGTATTTGAAAATAAAATACTTTTACTGTCACCCTTGGTAGAGTGCTGTGGCATCACAGCTCACAGCAACCTCAAACTCTTGGGCTTAAAGCTATTATCTTGCTTCAGCCTCCCAAGTAGTTGGGACTATAGGTGCCCACCACAACACCCAGCTATTTCTTTAATTGTTGTTGTCGTTGTTGTTTAGCAGGCCTGGGCCGGTTTGAACCTGCCAGCCTCGGTGTATGTGGCCAGTGCCCTAACCACTGAGCCTGGGCACCAAGCCTGAAAACAAAATACCTTTAAAAGAAACTAAATATATAATACTTGCAGTTTTTTTGTAGTAAGTAGGGCTTTTATGAGATTTATGACCATAAATATACATTTTGTACATATAAACATGAGATACTTATGTAGTCATTTAAATTGCTATAAATTATTTCTTTTAAGGGAATTGACATGCTCAGTGTGAAATCCATATCCTCTTGTTTTTTTTCTTTCAAATGTTGGCTAGTTGTACTTTTTTTTGCAGTTTTTTTTTGGCCAGGGCCAGGTTTGAACCCACCACCTCCAGTATATGGGGCTGGCGCCCTACTCCTTTGAGCCACAGGCACTGCCCAAGCTAGTTGTACTTTTTAGGAAAATAATTTTTATAAAAGAAAATCCTCTTATTTGCTATTTATTGCTTCTTAAATTTCTAATTAAAAATTTCTCCTTTAATGACATATAGAAATCTGATAGTTTTATATGTTTTACATAAGCATAGGCTGTTTAATACATCCTAGTTCTCAAATCCTATATATATCCTGACTGTGCTTAGCTTCTGGATATGAGCTTGATGTAAGAGGATAGTTAAAATTTTCCAGATTAGGAATTGACAGATGCAGGGAACAAGGAATTCTGATGGTAATAAATGTGTGAGCTCTTAAGTCAGATAAACCTAGTTCAAACCACCCTCCCCACACACCCCAGCTTACTAGCTTTGAGGCCTTATTTATTGCAATTCCTATTATGTTATGTGTACCGCTGTCTAAAACTCTCCTCCTCTTCCCCTCTGCAGATTCAAATACTATACTTGCTCCAAAGCTCACCGTCCTTCTTCTTCTAGAAATCCTTTTCTGTCCATCTAGCATGCAGAAACCTGCTTTTCTGAAATATTTAAATCACTGTACTCTCTTCCCTCAAAGCTGGGAGCTGACCACATGTTACTATATTCTGCATGTGTCTCTCCTGCCCTGGGAAACTGGAAGCTCTCCAAAGGAAGCTTTGTGTGCCCTGCCTTTTTACTAGGTAAATAGTAAATAACCTCAGGTAGTTGATAAATAATTATTTATATTTTCTTATTCTTGCTTTAATAGTTAAAATCAGCCAGGTGTGGTGGCTCATGACTGTAAATCCCAGCATTTTAGGAGGCCAAAGGAGTGCTTGAGGCCAGGATTTGAGTTTGAAACCAGCCTAAGCAACACAATAAAACCCTGTCTCTACAAAAAAAAAAAAAATTGAAAAATTAGCCACAGGTGCTGATGCGTGCCTCTAGTCCCAGCTCCTTGGAAGACCAAGGCAGGAGCATTGCTGGAACCTAAGAGTTTAAGGTTGCAGTGAGCTATGATGATGCTATTGCACTCCAACTTGGGCAACAGAGTGAGACCCTGCCCTCCCCCCAAAAAATGTTACGAACTCCTAAAAATCTTGGGCCTAAGTTCAGCACTATAGTCCTGACTTATACACCTCACAGCATCTTTTACCTGATATGGAAACAAACTTTTAAAACCTGTTCTCTTTTGCTTTATCCTTACATTAAATATCTTAGATGACTTTTCAACATGCAAGGAATATTTCTTTTTTCTGTATAAAACCTCTTTTCCTATAAGACTGCCTTATACTAGATGATATTTTCTGGCACAAAGCAAGTTGGAGAGAAAGAATGAAGGCAGGCAGGCTGTGACAGTCCCTTCACTCTAGGAAAGGGTTGTGTCTCAGGAAGGGCTTTACCATGCAGTAAAACTAATGAATGAGATTCTAGAATCGTGGCATTTTCTCTCACTGCACTCCCAGGCATTTCCTCTCTAGATGCTCATACAAGCCGCAGAGACTCTAAGAGTGAGCTATAAAGTGCTGGTGCTGAGCCTGTGTCCTGTCTTTCTGTAGTTGGTGAGCAGACAGTGGTTCGGAGCTTTCCCATTGCCTCCATCACCAAGGAGAAGAAGATTACAATGCAGAACCAGCTGCAGCAGAATATGCAGGAAGGACTGCAGATCACATCAGCATCTTTTCAGGTATTAAAAAAGGAAGCCATTCTTTTACTATTCAGATTTTTCAAAAATCTAATAATCTTGTGGCCATCTTTTGTAGTTATGTGGTCAGAAGTTAGAAGATGACAATGAGGAGATCAGAGAGTCTAAGAGGGTAATCTTCAGCTGAGTAAACTCATGGACGTTCTTGGATTTAATCCCTCATTTCATGAGCATCTTAGTCAACTCAGTACCAACCGATTATCAGTATTTAGTGATCTTAGAAACTCAGACACATAATTGGCTTTGTTGTCTGCCAAGCTATACCTGAACCCCTGTTTGATAAAGCCTTTAGATAAATGAAATTATCTTGGCATCTGTTTCAGAAGGAAATGTCCTATGGCTTTTCTGTAGAGAAGGTAAAAAGGACAGCTAAGGCTAGAGTGCTCATGGCACTAACTGCATAACCCCTGACAAGGCAAAGGGTTTTCTAGGGGCCTCTGAACATATCAGAACTCATGGAATTACCAATGCAAACTAGACCCTATAAGAAGTGACATTTTCTTAGTTTTTCTCTTATTTAAAAATTCTCAGTTTTTGCTTTGCCTATACTTCATACCCTGTCCCTAACTTCTCAGATTTCTAAGGATTCCAATTCTTGCCTCATTTCTTCCAGTGAAGGAGCCCTCCCCAGTAGCTCTTATGCTGTGTGAAATGTGAGGCTGCTGAGCCTTAGGTTCCAGACCTTCTATCACAGTGGTTCTCAACCTTCCTAATGCCACGATGTATTTTCATTGTTACAAAGGGGTCATGACCCTTGCTGTTCCAAGTATGAAAGAACTCTGCGCTTAAATACTTCCTGACGATACTAATAGGATTTTAGTTAACTGATTTTTTTCTTCCTACATTTGGTGTATGTCTGGGTAGGAAGAGACCTTTTTAGGCCAAATATCCCATCTAGAACCATCAGTTGAGAAATGAGAAGGGCATGTTTGCTAGTTTATCCACTACAAGTTAGTTGCTGATCCTATCGTAAAACACATAGTCTTAAAAAAATCTGACTTCAAGATAAGTAATTTTCCTTGCCAACTAACCATCTGCAACAAGTAAATCTTTTTGAGCCTCACTTTTATATTTTTAAAATTAAAAAACTGTATTACATGTTATCCAAATTCCTTTCATTCCAAAAGTCTTGCCATTTAGTGTTATTATGTTTTATTATTGGGGGGGGGGTTGTCTAGAAGTCCTTAATGCATATTGTGTGTTTAATCTCTTTTGTCTCTAGTTGATTAAAGTAGCCTTTGATGAAGAAGTGAGTCCAGAGGTAGTAGAGATCTTTAAGAAACAATTGATGAAGTTCCGTTATCCTCAGTCTATTTTCAGTACCTTTGCTTTTGCTGCTGGACAAACTACTCCACAAATAATTTTACCAAAACAGAAGGAAAAGAACACTTCTTTTCGGTAAGATGAAAGACAAGTTTATTAACTCATAACAGATTGTCATAGGAAGTGACTTATCTTATCCTTTGTGTCAAGAAGTACGTAATTGCTCTTTTTGTTAGCCTCCTGTCAAGCCTGTTGAGCCAAGCTCATAAAGTTATAGAAGAGCAACATTGATATAGGTAATGAGTTTCAGAAACGTAAAGCTGACAAAAGCTTTGATTATCAGGTCCATTGCTCACAATTTATTTTTTAGAATATGAAATTCTATTTTCTCTTTTTCCCATGTTGATTACTTTTTTAAATGCTTTTGAGCAATCCCTTCAGGTTTTATCCATACCCAGGCCTAAGAGTTTTGCTTTAATCTAGAAACAGAAGCCTTTATCCTCCACCTTTATTTTTGGTAACTGTTTATTTTGAGAAATTTCAAACTTACAGAAAATTTACAACAGTAATACAAAGAGTTCTTATTTATCCTTTACCCCAGTTCACCAATGGTCTCTATTTTGGGCCATATGTCTTATCATTCTCTCTTTCTCTTTTATATATATATCTTATATATATATAATAGTTATATATTTTATATATGATAATATATATTATATATATTATTTCCCCCTGAGCTATTTGAATTATATATAAAACATACCTTTATTCTTAGATCAGAGACATTATCTTATATATAACTACAGTTTAGTAATCAAAACCAGGAAATTTAATTGATATAACACTCTTACCTGACCCAAAGTCTATATTCAAATTGTGCTAATGATCCTTTGTAGCTTACTTTTTTTTGGCCTAGTCCAGGATCTAACCCAGGATCAAGCATTGCATTTAATTGTTGTATTTCTTTAGTATGAACTCTATTTTCTGATGAAAATTTTTAGAAATTTATATTGAAACTTTTAAATTTCAGTTATTACAAAATAACAGTTATTTTAAATTATCGTCCACAAGCCATAAAATATAGGGAATGAAATTTCAACTCATTCACCATTAATCATGTAGAATTTAGACATCTCCCAAATTATTAGGGAAACCTTTGCAGACTTTGGAGAAAAGGCCCAAAAGTGGGGTAGATGGAGGATTATAGAAGATTTGAGGTTGCAGACAGTACGTCATTTCTAGTTGCAGAGCTAGCCTTACCTGGTAAGTGAAGGAGACCATGAATATCCAGATATGATATACCAAAGCTTGACGCTTCCTCGGGATTTATAGCAGTGAGCCAGGCATCTTCTTTTAGCACTGTAGGGCCATAGAAGAGCCTGTGATATTTGTCATCCCAGCTGTTAATGGAAGAAAGACATCTGTGTATGGTACTGTAGGTTTAGAGACTATCAGAAACCTGTACATTTATATTAGTTTCAGAAATATGTATCTGTATCAAACTGTAGCATCAGCTGCTTACAGAGCAGAGCAACAGAGACATAACAATTTCAAAATGATACGAATTGCCTTAAGTATGTGAAACAAAGAATAAAACTTTAACTGGGAAAAAAATTAAGAAATACTGTAGACTTTAAGTTATACCTAAAGTGATTTACAATAGGTTTAACTTAGGAAATATCAATATTTTGTGATTCCCAACAGTTATCTAAAACTTGTCTCATAACCTTCAGGTTTACATTAGAGATGACTAAAGAAGGTGTGGTCAAACTATTAAGTCAAGAGAATCCGTATCACTTTTTACTAAATGATAGTAAAAATAGTAGAGAAGAACATAATCTAGAACAATCTTACTCAAAATCTTCACCTCCATCTGCTTAGTCAGGAAATAGATTCTTTGTTTAATTCTCTGGATTGTAAATAGTCTGTCGCTAGATTTTCTATCAGCAAGAAAGGTAAACTATTTGAATAAATAAAGTACTTTTAAGTCCAAGTGATTTACATTCTAGTTTCCCTTTAATTAAAGCTAATTCTCACGGCAGCGCCTGTTGTTCAGTGGGTAGGGCGCCAGCCCCATGTACCAAGGATGATGGATTCAAACCTGGCCAAATTGCAACCAAAAAATAGCCGGGCATTGTGGTGGGCACCTGTAGTCCCAAATACTTGGGAGGCTGAGGCAAGAGAATTGCCTAAGCCCAGGAGTTGGAAATTGCTGTGAGCTATGTGATGCCACAGCACTCTACTCAGGGCAACAAAGTGAGACTCTGTCTCTACAAAAAATAAATAAATAAATAAAGCTAATTCTCAAAAGGATACTCAAATTTCTGATTTCTTATTTTCTTCCTCTCGAAAGGGAAATTATATTGTTCTTCTTCTATCCCTCAAAAAGTTTATAGCTATTTAGAGGCAAGACAACACATATACACTCTTAAAACATTTAAGAAGTAAGTTAAGTTGTTCCCAGCTATAATGGTCATATCATCTCCAAGAAAGGCCAGTGAGGTGCTGGAAAGAGAATTTGAATTAGCAGAAAAGGGGGCAGGCTGGCTTTCCATGTAGAACGACTTCTACATGCATGCTTTGCGGCAACTCTGGTGGGATAACCAGAGTGGGTCATAGGAGAGGCTTGACCCAAAAGGCAAGCCATGATTAGATTGGTGGTGATGAGTAGTTTGTGTCCCACTTTAGTTTTTTTTGCACTTTTTTTGCCTACAGTAGTGTCCTGATGACAATGGTATTTTATAGGATATCAGTCCACTGCCACATCAAAAGTGATCTAAAGGCCAGGTGCAGTGGGTCACGCCTGTAATTTTAACACTCTGGGAGGCCGAGGTGGGTGGATTGCTTGAGCTCACGAGTTCGAGACCAGCCTGAGCAAAAATCAAGACCCCCAGCTCTACTAAAAATAGAAAAATCTGAGGCAAGAGGATCACTTGAGCCCAAGAGTTGGAGGTTGCTATGAGTGATGATGCCACAGTACTCTACCCAGGGCAACAGCCTGAGACTCTGTCTCAAAAAAAACCAAAAGTGAATCTAAAGAAGGAAGGCTTAGCCTGAGCAAGAACAAGATGCTGTCTCTACTAAAAGTAGACAAAATTAGCCAGACACAGTGGCAGTCACCTATAGTCCTAGCTACTTGGGAGGCTGAAGCAGAGGATTACTTGAGCCCAGAAGTATGAGGGTACAGTGACCAATGGTGAGGCCACTGCACTCTAGCCTGGGCAACAGAGCAAGACCCTGTCTCAAAAAAAAGATAAAGAAGAAGAAAAGCCTTAATGAAAGTCTGGACAATACTTGTAGCTATGGAAATGGAGAAGAAACCATGTGAGTCATATAGGTGTCAAAAATATAAGTGGTATCTTCATATTAAATTGATATTCTCTTTGGTTTTATGACTTGTAGCACCTTCTCAAAAACAATTGTAAAAGGTGCCAAAAGGGCAGGAAAAATGACAATTGGGCGACAATATTTATTGAAGAGGAAGACAGGGACAATTGTGGAAGAAAGAGTAAATCGTCTTGGATGGAATGAAGAAGATGACATATCTGGTATGTGAGAACTCATTTTTTCTTCATGAGTCAATTTTATTCTTAAATGAATAAGAGACTAAGATGTAGTTGCACTTAAACCTTTACTCACAAAAGCCTAGATTTCATGAGAAGATTAGAAGCACTTACCAGTCTCTCAGAACTGGAAAAAAAATTATTTTCCCAATATTCCATTGTTCAGATGAGATTTTGTTAAATTATACTTTACTAAATTCAATATAGCTGATTGGCTGATATTATGTGGATCTCATTAAAGGGAGAAAGAGACCCTACTGCATAGGAAATTTAGGTATAAGGTAGTTCCCTCTATCTTACTCTTATAGAATAAGAACAGATATTCAAAGTCAAAGATTTGGAGTTTTGGTAAGAACACCGTTGGTGCTCTTAATCAAAATGGAGGACCTAAGGAATTCTTGATGATAAGAAAAAAATACCTCCTCAATATTTAAAAGAACACAATTGGGGCAGCTAAGGAACCTCTAGATTGGGAAAATAGAGCCATAAAATCAGTAGCAAAATTTCTTGTTGAGTAATTATTTCCTATTCTTAACCTAGTATCAAGTATGCTGTGGAATTCACACTACAGAGAATCTGAAGTAATGGGATGCAGAATGACATTATACCCTTTTCCTTCTTAGGATCTTGAATCAATCCCCAGTGATTATACCACTACTACTACTAAGAACAATAATTAAAAAAAAAAAAACTGGGGCTGGGTACAGTGGCTCACACCTATAATCCTAGCACGCTGGGAGGCCGAGGCAGGTGGATTGCCTGAGCTCAGAAGTTCAAGACCATCCTGAGCTAGAGCAAGACTCCATCTCTAAAAATAGCCAGGCAGTGTGAAAGGCACCTGTAGTCCCAGCTATCTGAGAGTCTGAGAAAAAAGGATTTCTTGAGCCCAAGAGTTTGAGGTTGCTATGAGCTATAATACCGTAGCACTCTCCTAAGGGTGACAAAATGAGACTCTGCCATAGATAGATAGATAGATAGATAGATCTTCATTTTTACAGAGAGCTGTGACTGGTCTCCATTTCTGTTTCCTGGAATAAAGAACTTCTTGTAATTTTTTATGTATGTATGCATGCCCTGAGAGAGAATGTGTACATACAGACTTGCCTCTGGGGGAATGAAAATACCCATCATCACATTACTGAAATGACCATTTGTTGGAACTCTGGCCTCCTCCTAGTCATATGTAAATCCATAAAAATATTACTGCTCCCTATCACTCTTGACTTCTCTAACTCAGTATTTTTATTACTTCATGGATCAAAACCTGTTTTTTCACCAAATTACATAATGTTCTTTGCTCCTCTAAAAATAAAATACCAACACATAATCAATACCTGATTAAATTACTTTGTGAAGTTCACAAACTGAAAGACAAGGTCTTATATTTAAAGAGACAAGCCAGACAGGGTGGCTCACACCTGTAATCCTGGCATTCTGGGAGGCCAAGGTGGATGGATTGCTTGGGTTCAGGGGTTTGGGGCCAGCCTGGTCAGGGGCGAGATTCCATCTATACTAAAAAATAGAAAAACTGGCTGGCTGTTAGGGCACACTCCTGTGGTCCCAGCTGCTTGGGAGAATGAGGCAAGAGGATAACTTAAGCCCAGGAGGTTAAGGGCGCTGTGAGCTATGGTGATGCCACAGCACTCTACCCAGGGTGACAGGGTGAGACTGTTTCTCTAAATAAATAAATGGACAAGCTTTTTTTATTTTTTTAATGTTAATGGAAGAGGGAAGGCCATATCTTTCCCTTATACATTAGTGCTTTTAATACATTTTTTATTTCCAAAATCTTTGAAAACTTGTTTTGACTTTTCTTTAAAAATAAATAGGAAAGTAAATTAGGACTGTTTTTAACATGGAATTTTTTTTTTTAAGTTAGAACATGCAGGCTTGGCACCTGTAGCATGCGCCTAGTGGTTACAGTGCCAGCCACATACACCCAGGCTGGTGGGTTCAAACTCAGGCCAGGCCAACTAAACAACAATAACAACTGCAATAAAAAAAATAACCAGGTGCAGACTCGGCAGCTAAGGTGCCAGCCACATACACCAAAGCTGGCGGGTTCAAATCTATCACAGGCCTACCAAACAACAATGACAACTACAACCAAAAAAAGAAAAGAAAGTAGCCGGGTGTTGTGGCGGGTCCCTGTAGTCCCAGGTACTTGGAAGGGTGAGACAAGAGAATAGCTTAAGCCCAAGAGTTTGAGGTTGCTGTAAACTGTGACTCCATGGCACTCTATTGAGGGTGCCATAGTGAGTCTCTATCTTAAAAAAAAAAAAAAAAAAATGCAATACTAATTAGGAATGTGCTTTTAAAAAAAATTCTCCCTAAAAATCTTGGTTATTGAGTAAATCCTTCCACATCCAGAATCTTAAAAGATTCTGTAACCTGTGATTCTGAAACTGTGAGGGAGTTTCCCATGTCTACAACATCCTCTAATAAAAATATTTCCAGGAATAAAAGTATAACTCCTGTATGCTTCTCTAAGGAAATCTAGTAAATTTCTGATTAATCCAGAAATTTCTAATAAAAGTTCATGCCCTGAAAAGTAAACTGAAACCTGGATGATGAATTTGCATAGTGATCCTATTAAAGGTAAATTTTACTGACAGGTTAGCTTCTGACCAAGTGTGGGTGTTTTTGTGGAGTCCTAAATAGAAATCCTTGCAGTATAGCATTACTAGGCAAGCCTGAATGAAACAGAAAAATATAGGTAATGAAATTTAAAATTATACTGTTTCTTAAGAAGAATTTAAATTATATTATTTTCCTGACATTTTTGAGTTAAATTACTGATATTTCATTTCTTAACTATTTGTAACTTACATTTTAACTTACATTTATGTGAGTATGATTCCGCATGAAAGTTACATGATTTAGTTTATAATATACATAAATAATATCTATAATCCTAATAAAACCCTTAGTTTAAGGATCATCTTCAAAGTTTTTGATCCTACACTTTAAGATAATAATTTCTTCAAAATATGTCTCTGCCATCCCAGTTTCAGATGATAGTGAACTCCCCACAAGCACCACCCTGAAGGCCTCAGAGAAGTCTACAATGGAACAGTTAGTGGAAAAAGCTTGTTTCAGAGACTATCAGCGTTTAGGTTTAGGAACCATAAGTGGAAGCTCTTCCCGCTCAAAACCAGAGTATTTTCGAATCACTGCCTCCAACAGGATGTACTCACTGTGCCGGAGGTAAGTGCGTCAGTGGACTCCAAAAAGAGACTTCCGTTCTTTCCATATAAATCTTCAGTGGGCTGTTAACATCTCATTGGCATTGTCAGGAGACACAATGACGTCACTAAAAAGTTACCTCTACTGGGTCAGGTCAGAGGGTGAAAGGTAAAGTTTTTGTCCCTTTATGAATTTCTCTTATGTGTCTTTCTCTTCCTAGTTGCCTCTTTTCTAGCAGCCTGAAGATAACTTGAAGAAGGAATAGGATCCACAAACTAACTCTTTCTGTAAAAGTCCAGATAGTAAATATTTTCAGTTCATGAGCCATAGGGTCTCTGTAACAACTCACTCTGCCCCAAAGCCACCAGTAAGGAAAAGAATGACCCAGGGGTAGCCGGGGCTTACTAATGCTGTCTAATTAGAATATTTTAAGGGGAATATTACTTAAAGAATGTAACTGAACACATTCTTCTTTTTTGTATACTTGTCCTCTCTCACTGTTTTTCACACGTTATGCCCTATTCCATGCTTCACTGTATGTAAATACATATTTTCCCAAAACTACATTTTCAACATACCTAAGTTTAGACATTTTTATCTCCTAGTAAGTTGTTTTCTTTACATTTACAAATTCCTGATTTGATTAAATAGCTCTGAAAGCACTTTGTAAATTATAAACCTTGTACATATTTTATAAAGTTGTCTTAATGTTACGGTTAGTTTCAATCCTACTGTTCTTGAAGAATTAGAAATGTCATTTTAAATGGCAATTTAGGTTTATAAATACCAACATGAGACTTAAGGAACAAGTTAGGAATATAATCTGAGCTATGGCCAAATGAGCACTTTGTATGAAAGAGTGGGACTCTGAGTATGTAGTAATATTTCTGAGATTCTCTGTCATTCTGACTAAACTATCTTTAAAGATAAACATAAGTCATGTCCAAGTATGATGTCCTGCTGTTTGAGAAGCTTGCTATCAAAATTATATTTTCCAGTAAGAAAACAGATCCCATTTATCATTTCAGTCTGTCAGAAACAAAAGTTTAATAGGTTATTAGAACATTTTTACCGGGCCAGGCGCAGTGGCTCACACCTGTAATCCTAGCACTCTGGAAGGCCCAGGTGGGTGAATTGCATGAACTTAGGAGTTCAAGAGCAGCCTGAGCAAGAGTGAGACCCTGACTCTACTGAAAATAGAAAAACTAGCCAAATGTCGTGGTGGGTGCCTGTGGTCTCACCTACTCAAGGGGCTGAGGCAAGAGGAGCTCTTGAGCCTAATTTGAGGTTGCTATGAGCTATGACACCATGGCACTCTATCCAGGGTGACCAAGTGAGCCTGTCTCCAAAACAAAAAACGAACATTCATACCAGCATTTATGGTGGTATGAAATAGTATATATCCATTAAACTATTAGAAGGAAGGAAATGGAATAGTTTTTAAAAATCCAAAAGAAGGCAAGAAAGGGGAGAAAAAGGAATGTAGAACAAACAAATTAGATACAAAGTAGTAAGATTTAAAGTTAGATATATAAGTAATTTTGTTAATTATAAATTGACCAAATGCTCCAATTCAAAAAAAGAGACTATTAGGGTTTGGGAGGGTTTTCTTTTTTTGCTTATTTATTTAGTTAGTTATTTTAATTAAATCATAGCTGTGTACATTAATGCAATCATGGGGTACATGTGCTGGTTTTATATACAATTTGAAGTATTTTCATCAAACTGGTTAACATAGCCTTCACCACATTCTCTTAGTTATTGTTTTAAGACATTTATATTCTACACTTAGTAAATTTAACATGTACCATTGTAAGATGCACTGTAGGTATGGTCCCACCAATTACTCTCCCTCCATTTATCCTCACCCCTCCTCTCCCTCTCCCTCTCCCCTTTCCCCTTTTTCTTGGGCTATAATTGGGTTATAGCTTTCATATGAACCTATAAATTGGTTTCATGGTAGGACTGAGTACATTGGATACTTTTTCTTTCATTCTTCAGATACTTTGCTAAGAATAATATGTTCCAGCTCCATCCATGTAAACATGAAAGACGTAAAGTCTCCATCTTTTTTTAAGGCTGCATAATATTCCATGGTGTACATATGCCACAATTTATTAATTGTGGGTCACTGGGCACTTGGGCTTATTCCATGACTTAGCAATTATGAATTGGGCAGCAATAAACATTCTGGGGCAAATATCTTCGTTATAAAGTGATTTTTGGTCTTCTGCATATATACCTAGTAGAGGAATTGTAGGGTCGAATGACAGGTCTATTTTTAGATCCCTAAGTGATCTCTAAACATCTTTCCAAAAGAAAGGTATTAGTTTGCATTCCCACCAACAGTGCAGAAGTGTTCCCTTTTCTCCGCATTCATGCCAACATCTGTGATTTTAGGATTTTGTGATGTGGGCTAATCTTACTGGAGTTAAATGATATCTCAAAGTGGTTTTGATATGCATTTCTCTGATGATTAAGGATAATGAGCATTTTTTCATCTGTCTGTAGGCCATGCACCTGTCTTCTTCAGAGAAGTTTCTCTTCAAATCCCTTGTCTACCCTGACATGGGATCACTTGTTCTTTTCTTGCTAATACGTTTGAGTTCTCTGTGGATTCTGGTTTTTAAATCTTTGTCAGAGATATAACTTGCACATATTTTCTCCCATTCTGAGGGTTGTCTGCTTGCTTTACTTACTGTGTTCTTGGCTGTGCAGAAGCTTTTTAGTTTGATCAGATCCCAGTAATATATTTTTGGTGTTGCTTCAGTTGCCCAGGGGGTTTTCCTCATAAAATATTCACCCAGGCCGATTTCTTCAAGTGTTTTCCCTGTACTTTCTTCTAGTATTTTTATGGTTTCATGTCTTAAGTTTAAATCTTTACTCCAATGAGTGTCTATCTTGGTTAATGATGAAAGGTGTGGGTCCAGGTTCAGGCTTCTACAGGTCACCAGCCAGTTCACCCAGCACCATTTGTTAAATAGGAAATCTTTTCCCCACTGAATGTTTTCAATTGGCCTATCAAAGATCAAATAATGGTAAGTAGCCAGGTTCATCTCTTGGTTCTCTATTCTGTTCCATACATCTACCTCTCTGTTTTTCTGCCAGTACCATGCTGTTTTGATCACTGTCAATTTATAGTATAGTCTGGGGTCTGGTAGCGTGATTCCTCCTGCTTTCTTTTTATTTCTGAATAATGTCCTGGCTATTCGAGGTTTCTTCTGATTCCATATAAAACAAAATATTATTTTTTCAAGACCTTTAAAGTATGACAGTAGAGCTTTAATAGGGATTGCATTAAAATTGTATATTGCTTTGGGTAACATGGACATTTTAACAATGTTGATTCTTCCTAGCCATGAACATGGTATGTTTTTCCATTTGTTAACATTTTCAGCTATTTCTTTTCTTAGAGTTTCATAGTTGTCTTTATAGAGATCTTTCACGTCCTTTGTTAGGTAAACTCCCAAATATTTCATCTTCTT